TATATATACACACACATATACATACACACACACTATTATTCCTCTCTTTCACATCCCTGAGAGACTACACAGACAATGAATTTGATTGTAGAATATATTCCACAATATATTCAAATTCAATTTGGTTTCTTGTATAGAAGATAGTTTCTTAAATTATAAGAAATTATCAAACCTATGTAAGAATGGATATAAGGTTAAACCTGTTCCTCCTAAAACAAAAGCAAAATTGCAGTCAGATTTTTTTATGGTTACTATATATCTATTGTTTGTAATTGGACTATTACCAGAGCTCAAGGATTTTTTATTTCCCCCCCCCAATATTTAACAATATATTCATGCATCTGTCTCATGTAAGATCTTTTTGTAATATAACTCTTACTGTGAATGTGTTGGCAAAGCCTTCATTCAAAGCTATAACTAACCAGCTTCTATGCACTGTCATGTCACTTATGGTTACATAGTTAAGCCAGTGAACTACATGTTTTATTAAAGGATGGATTGAATAATGGCTGCGTCTGTTAATCCTACTGTGCAGGGTAGAGGATGAAAAACATTCCCAGGAGGTATCACAGTTTCAGGAAGAGCTGGCAGAAGCCAGGTCTCAGCTCCAACTTCTGCAGAAAAAGCTGGATGACAAACTTTGTGAACAGCCTGTAGTAAGCCAAGAGGTAAAACCTGCATATTTACTGTGCTTATCTTTCTTTACGACGTGTTGTATGACTTCATTTGTCTTTAACTCAGCATATTTTTATGAAGTTTTGCTAGGTTTTCTTAGAACCTGTCAGGGTTTATGATACATAATAATGTATTTCAGATTTTGTGGTTGACTGCCCCTACACATAATTCTAAAGATGCTGGTTTGTTTTGTTTTTTCCTCTTTCCTCCCCCACTCCCCGGTAGGTGGAAGATCTCAAGTGGGAAGTAGAACAAAAAGAAAGAGAAATTGAAACACTTAAGCAGCAGTTGGATATGAGTGAACAGCGCAGTCACAAAGAGTTAGAAGGGATACAAGTTGTCTTGCAGGTAATCTTGGTGGAGATTTGATGCTTAACTGGTATTGCTGTAGGGGGATAATAATATTTTTATTTTTTAAAAGCATTCTATGCTGATACTTTACTTGATAAATTTTTATTCATAAAAATTTAATCACTATATGTTTTGCAGTCTTTTCTCAGTTTTACTTTGTGCTGTTACCTTCTGGTTGGACTTGATGATCTTAAAGGTCTTTTCCAACCTAGTTGATTCTATGTGGTTCTTTCCTTGACCTTATGCTATTAAAATAGGCAAATGTCCTTTTCTCCGTCTTTCCAGTCTGGTGAACTACCTTCCTATTTTTTCCCCTTTTTTTTTTTTTTTTTTTTTTTCTTAATCTATCTTTTGGTTTTCTGCCAGGGCAAATTGGTTTCAAATAGCAGTGTTACATGTTGTTCCTCTTTCTAGTTTCCTCTGGATACTGAAAAAAAATATGAAAACATTAGTTGACTGGAATTTTTACACCATTTCCCTGTATTACGTTGATTCTCTTCTTTTACCATTTAGAATATCAGGACTGAGCTGGAAATGGTGAGGGAAGACCTGTCAGTGACTCGGAAGGATAAGTTTATGCTGCAGGCTAAAGTGACTGAACTGAAGAACAGCATGAAGTCCCTGCTGCAGCAGAACCAGCAACTGAAGTTGGACTTGAAGCATGGCAAGATGAAGAAGGTATTTAGGAAGAATACGTGTTGTAGGGTGCTGGACAATACTCTGCTAATGCTCTTAGATTTAAGTACCAGAAAACACTCTGCTGCAGGAAGCCTGGTGAAAACTCTGAACTGAAATGCCTGCCTGGGATACAGACTTACCGATGTTCTGATACCTAAATCATAAATACATGAAGACTTGTAGGCAAAAGTAAATGTACTGGTCTTGACTTCCCACCTTTTACTTCAGAAATCTTTGTGTTTAGTGTAGTATTTTATATTTACATTTTGACTTATAAAGAAAAGAAGTTAGCACTTAAATAATGACTCATGGGCAAATATGGAGCTAGTACCTTTTTATAGTTAAAACCTACCTAATGTTTATGTGCTTATCCTCTCCACACAGTCTAGTTTTTCATCCTTCCATAATTTTAGAAGGTAACTATTAGTGGTTTGAGTTTTCTGATTTGCCACTAGTACGCAGAAAATGCAGTAATAGTACCTCCCTTGCTCTTTCCTTCCCTGAAGGAATTCTCTTGGTGACAGAATTTTGTAGAAGTCTCCATTCTTTTAGACATTGGTCCTGATACCTCATCCTGCAGGTCCAGAATTTCCACAAAGATTCATTTGATTGTACTTAACTGATTTTTTTCTTTTTTTCCTGAATTCTCTTGACTATACTCACAGAATGTTATTAAAATAGTTGCCAAGATCCAAGTCATTAGCTTTAAATTCTTCCTGTCTTATCTCTCTAGTAGAGTGAGCTCTTGAGTAGGTCCTTTTAGGTGCTGTTTGTTTACTTACGAGCATGACTAGAAGATGACATCAGGTTAGGAGCTTTTGCTTGTGACCCATGAGCCTTAACATGAATGTGCTTCTGATTTCTGCTTTATAATACAGCTATGTACCATTAGTGTGGTGTGAGACTCTTTATGTGGTAAAAATTACACTGATGAAATAACTTATTTGTATTTTGGGCTCTTTTTTTTTTTTTTTTTTTTTTTTTTTCTTTCCTTTAACCAGAAGAAGGAACTGAAAGGAGAGAATAACTCTTCAAATCCTGTGACTCCAGTCAAGATTCCTGATTGTCCTGTGCCTGCTGCCTTGCTGGAAGAACTGTTGAAACCATCAACAGCTGTGAGCAAGGAGCCTTTAAAAAATCTGAACAGCTGTCTGCGGCAATTAAAGTATGACCTGTTATTTTCAACCATATTAAATAATCTTAAAAATGTTTCCAAGAAACCAGCTGCCAGCCTAAAGAGAAAAAAGAATTTTGAATTCTTTTCCTCTTACTGGGACTATATTTAGGACAGTAGAATGTTCTGTTGCTCTAAGTGCTTGCTTATATAGTAATGAAACAGAGAAGAAACTCTTTACAACAAGCTAGACAAAATGTCCATCCTAAATTATACACAGTAGAACAAACTGGAAACAGCTATTTCTAGTTCTTGCTGGTGGTGAAGATGGTGTTTCTTCATAGCATCAGAAAGGCTGCTCATGATAGCAGACAGGGAATGTGTTAATAAGAAATCTCTACAGAGGAAGTTCACTCTGCGAAAAATATGTTTTCAGATCTTCCCTTAGAAGATTCTGAGCAGGCAAGCTACAACTTTGGGAAGATGGGGAGTTTAGGCTATTAGACCTGAGCTGCTGTTATCACCTTAGTTGATGTTTGAGGGGAGTTAGCCTGTGATAATGTTCTGTGATCCTCTACTACTACACTAGTTGCTCTGCTAAGTTGGTGTCTGACTAAAGTCATAATGTGTTTACGTAGTTATTTTTCAGTGCTGCTTTCCTCACCTCTACCTCCCATGTTGTCTTTTATACCTGCAAAAGTACCATGTTCATCAGGTTGCAGTCACTACGTACCTTTACTGAGGTAACAGTGCTGTATCATCCCTGGCCAATGGGTATGTGCAGCAAAGGAGCTGCTGTGTTGTTGGCCCTTAATTCTGAATTAAGTTTATTGTAATTGTTTTGCTCTTAAACTGAAGACAGACAATTTCTAAGCTTCCTGTAGACTTCTTTCTCTTGTATACAGCTGTAGCTTAGATAGTCTTGGAGTAGATATCGAGAATCAGAAGAGCAGTTTTGTGATCTTGCATTTAGCGGTTAGCCTTCTGCTTGTTAATTTTTGCTTTTTTGTTCTCAACACTTTCAAAAGGCAAGAAATGGACAGCCTTCAGCGTCAGATGGAGGAACACACCATTACAGTACATGAATCAATGTCTTCGTGGACTCAGATTGAGGGGCAACTAATGGACTTTACATCTACCAGTCCTGCAACTGCATCAGATCAGCAGGAGATTCCTATTGTAGAAGAAAAGAAACGGAACTGTAGCGTTAGTAACCAGGAAGCTTTGACGCTATAACCCCTTTATCAGTTGTCTTTCTTCCTATTGCTTTAAGTATGTAAACAAATCTTTACCAAAATTATTTATTTATTTCATTTTTAAGAACGGTGTTTCAAAGTTGTGCTTTTGCCTGTGGAAGCAAAGGACATGGTTTTGAGAAACTGGTGTAATATTAAATGCAGAACATGCTATTCCAAGGGTTTATTTCAAACCTTACCATAGTAATCCTGGTATGTTGGGGGCTACCAAGTGGTAAATCTTTAGCTCATTTTGGTGTTAAGAGATTCAGATGAAGGTTTAAAATGAGGTCAAGAGGAGCATCTGGTTCCAACTGTGTATTTGTTCAATCTGGGTGAGTTTGTTAAGGAATGACTGTTAATTTATGTGACATCTGGGGTTTGTTGTTTGTTTTGTTTAAATGTGGGGTGTGGGTTTGTTTTTTCCCCCCATCTTGGGTTGTATCCACATCACGGGGAAAAATAAGTTCTGCTTGTGTTCAGCCATTAGTAGTGGTTGAGAATTTGGTATTCTGAACATCCTCTCTCCTCCCTCCTATAATCTCCTATTCTTGAAGCTTAGATTACAGATACTTTTATTTAAAGGAAAAAATTCATTTGAAGCCATTTCTAGTTACAAAGATGACCTCTGACCTACAGCAAAAGAAGACTGTAAAGACAAGCAATGCAGAGCAGTATGTACTTTTGGCAGATCTGCCTGGGATGTTTTCTGAAGTATCAGTTTTTCTCCTACAGTTGCAGGCCAGTAGGGAGCTTTGCTTCACTGCACAAACACTTCTTGCACCTTTTTAGTTTGACTTTTGAAGTAGGCACCCTTGAAAAAAGGTATGTGTGTAATATATATATATAAGAAATCATAATTTTTTGACTCTGAATATCTGTTCTAATATGCTTATATACTGTAAGATAAGGCTGACATGAGGGGGTTTTGTTACTGTTGTTGATTTAATATTACATTTAAGTTCGCTGGTTTTTGACATACTGTACAAGTGGCTTAGGGAAATTAGCCCCTAAAGCCAGAGCTTTTAGAAATGTAATTATTTTTACTTTAAAAGAGAAAATTATAATGCCTATAAAACTATTATTTTTATTAGCTTTATCTTCTCCCACACATTTCCCCTACTTTTTGCACCCTCTATTACAAGGTGACCATCATGAATGGAAATGTTGGTACTGTGGCAACCCGTCTGCAGGGCACCTTGACTAGATCATTATTAAATCAGCCTGCTTTAGATTCATTTGCCCTTGGTCCCATTGCTCCACGTGGCTTATAGTGCAGCAATAAACCTGCCCTCTCCTTCAAAATTCCTTTGTGGAGGGGGACTTTCTTTCAGAAATTCTATCAATTATATCCAGTATAGTTTGGAGTTTAAAAAAACCCAAAAATCTACTAAGTATACAATTAGATTAAGTGTGTGGGGGGGTGGAATTCTAATTTGCATATTTTTCCAGAGATTGTTGCTGCTTTTGGATGGGTTCAGTTGTTGGGGGTGAATGATTGTAGTTTGCTTAGGACAGGAGGATGTCATGTCACTGTAAGTGACAAAAGGCAAAGAATAAGCATATAAAAACCCCAAACCCACCCATATTTATCCAAAGTGATTTCTCATAACTAGCAATTCAAGCTCCAGTCCAGTTGAATGCTTTGAACCCGAAGTGTCTACATTGACGGATTTCATGCCCCTCAGCTACTGGATTTTAACTTGGGTTTTATTGAGCTCACAGTCAAGTGATGCTAGAAGTCGAGGTTTTGAAATTGGTGAAAGTAGAAATGCATTGGCATGGCACTAAGTGCCCATGAGACAGAATTACCAAACAGTTCAAAGAAAACTCAAAAGCTTTACAGACTAGCTTAGATATGTTAATGTCTGCATACTGCCGCAGTCTACTTTGCAGAGTATATGGTACTGATTATCTCACTGCTGTCATGTTCTTGAAGTTGCCTGTATATTAAGCTTAAAGAAGAAAAAACCCCAATGCAGTATTGTTACAGAACAAAGTTAAAAGTATGTAATGAATAATATATTCAGTATAAAAAAGTTTTCAAATGTTCAGGATTTTAAATAAACTTAACACTTGTGCAGCATTAATGTTGCTGTTCATTTTAGTAAATACACTGCCTACAGTTAAGAATTCATTATGTTTTAATCTCTGAAGTTTGGCAACACTTGTATGGACAAAGGTTTTATAAGGTATCAAAGAAGCCAGAATTGTTAAAGTCTTCATAGGTCTTCAAAATGTCTACTCTACTCTCCTTTTTGTATCAATAATCATACTGCATTCTGTTTTCAGTGCAGTACTAGCTCCTTAAAGACATCTGAGCTTACACAACCAAGTAGCCTTAGGTGCGTACTTCTCCTTCTGAAGATGAGGAAGCAGTTGTGAAGTGCTCGGGTTACGTTTCCACATTGACCCACCTGTTGCTCTCTGAAAGTACCTGGATATGAGGTATTTTTGGTTTATACGCACCTTGTGTTCTTTCTACAAACAGAAGCACCATGCTATTTACTTAAATGAAGGACAAATGGTGAGACTTCTGAGGGTCTAAATCTAGTGAGGTACTAAGTCAGTGAAATTACAGAAGTCACTGGGAAACCTAGAAGGAGCACACAGCACGTGATAAAAGCAAGGGTTTTTATTTGAAGCTCATCAACGATGTTTCTTAATTAACCAGAGAAATAGTTGCTGGTTTATTAAAAAGCCTCACCCTGAGGCTGAGCCTGCTTGCTCTGCAGAGCTTCAGGTCTCTGCTGTCTAAGCAATAAAACAAACTAGTTGTAGGAATGAAAACTGCCTCCCCTCTGTCTGTCACAGCAATGCCAGCTTAGAGGAAAATCTCAACAATGCTCTTAAAGACTTGTCTTTTCCTTTTTCAAGCACTGCAATAGAATGTATTTTCTGTGTCTGTTTCTTCAGTGGTTGCTATCTACTAAACCAAGTCTTTATGAAGGAGAAATGTCACTGCAGTGTGTTTCCCAAGTGATTAAAGTTGGTAAATGCTGCAGCATTACTTTTCCAGATGCTGTTTGGGGTTTTGAGAATTCTTTAATTTTGCATTTTAAAAAAACCCAAAACCAAAACATGGCCAAAAGAACCCAGCAAACTGTACAATGGAAAAAAAATGTTGAAGTCTCTGGTGTTGCTAAACGTTGCATAATGCTCCATTCTATTGTCTTCCAGATTTCTTGGAAATATATGTGCACTGTATTGGGATCAGTTGAGTCCCTTACCCACTCATGCAGTGGGGGGATCTGATCCCATACTGTTTATTCAGGCACTACCCTAACTGAAATATATGAGAATTTCACATGTGTAAAGTAACATCCAGAATGAAAGTTCTGGTGCTTGCATTTTCATGGATTATGTATTCCTCGGTAGGGGAATGAACTGCAGTGGCATGGATGTTTTAATGTTAGCTATGACAACTCAAAAGGTGCACTGGGGACAGATAGTATTATCAATATAAATTTAACTTAAAGATGACAAATTCACTACAGGTGATGCAAAAGTGCGTGATGTATGTTTTATTAACTTTGCCAGGGAAGTGTGAGTAGTTGCATGTGACTTGCTGTGACCAGAGCCTTTAATTATTTTCATGTGAAAGCAATTACTAGTCCAAAGTAATTACTACTGCTCATCAGCTGTCACCTGATCACTCTTGTCTCCTATACTGTTGTGTAACACTCCAGTCTTGGGCAGTAGGGCAGCCTAATTTCCTGAAAGATATTCTGGATATTGTAAATGAAATACTGTTATGTTTTATACATGACATTCAGTAATGTCTGCTTAGGCTGTATTTGTAAAGGTAGAAGTTAATCATTTCATGTTCTTGAGTGGGTAACCCAGGGGATGGAGGAGTTACACTATGTACAATTAATATTTATGATCATACAAAGCATGTTGATTATAAAAATAATGTGCATAGGAATTCCTTTAAAAGTTTTGTGCAATAAACTATTTTTGGTAAAGGGCTCCATGTTGTTTCTACTTTCAAAGAGAAAGTGATACCATCTTTCTGGGTTTGGACTGTAGTTTTTATGTTTAGGCTTCTGAACATGGTGTGTGCTCTTTCTAAATAAGGTGGGTTTTTTTCCTTAAAGGTGGCTATGTTATTGCAGATTGGTTTTTCATACACCTAAAATAAATTGTGTTTGTATTTCCATTACATCTACTTTTTCTCAGTTTGCTGAACACGTAATGAGTGAATCTCCCTTGGTCTGAATTTGCCAATGTGCTCTTTGAGTGTACACAATGAAACGATGCAGAAATCATCTTCAGTCTAAACTGCCTAACTGCAATGACAGGGAGAGACATGACTGTACTTTAAAATGAGTTGAAGAGTTGCCTTAACTTTAGCATGAGTTAGAGATGTCAACTTCTTGGAGGCCTGCCTTTTTGTCTCACCACTTAAACCAGTAACCAGTCTACATCTTACTGTACAAATATAGCTGTACCCCTAAGGTAGGTATAACATGACTAACAGGCTGACTTGTGTAGGGCTGTGGAGGGACTCGTTTCCTTTCTGTGCATTAGGGGCTTTCTTCATGATTGTCCATCTCTGCCAGCTTCTCGGATCCTACTGCAGCGTTTTGAAGCTAATGCTTAGACTCAGCCTTCTTTTCTAAAGGAGACTCAACTTGCGCGTCTTCTCACGCAGCACGGCTCCGGCAGGTTGCAAGCCGCGTCCCTGTCCCAGGGAATGATGACCAAGTGTAGTCCTAGATCCTTGAAAACCGCCCCCCGCGGTGCGCAGCTCCATCCTCCCTTCTGCTGGAGCAG